ATAAGTAGATCGATTATGTGATCTTCTTATCACTGGATTTAAATGTTGCATGTATTTGATATTGTGAGGTTGTCCATTAGTAGATTAGATGTTTTAATGTTGCCTATACATTATAAACAATCATGCATTTGATTGCTTTATGAAAGCAAATAATTGATCAAACATTAAACAATGAGGTACGTACATATTATGTTGAATATTTCACATGGATACTAATTTTCAATTTTCAGACAAACCAGACTACTAATTTAACTCATCATGTACTTCATTTAGTATACTCGATGAATGAATCCAATTTACATAATACAAATCGTAACATCATCTTAACAATACCAAGCTCTTCGAGTGTGATCCAGCCACGAGGTGAATTTGGAATTATATAGGGAGGTCTTTGAGTCGGATCCCTTAAGGAGGAAGCTCAAGATCAGGTTGTGCATCACCTACACATTCATGGGTAGCTGGAGGATCAGGTTGGATATCCGGAGCTCCATCTTCATTCTGAGCATGGTATTCCGAATGCTGAGATCCCAGTGGAGGCTGCACAAGCATATCAGGTCGCATTTGTGTTGGCCGGTTCATCATCGTTGAAAGGCGTTGAGGTGGTGGCATGATAGCAGAATAGTTAATATCATCCATGTGAGCAAAACAGTCAACAACGCTCATAAGAGCATGCAAATCAATCATAGCCGTCTCCACTCTCTCCCCCAGCTTCTCCAACTGAAGACGGAGGAGAAAAACCTCAAGAACAGACCTCGTATGAGCAGGACTCTTTTTCGGCTTTTTGTAAAGCTCCAATACTCCGACATACGCATCAATCAGCCCATAAAAAAACTGGATCTGCTATTCATAAACTCAAACTGAGGGTTTTTCATAAAATCTTGCAAAAAATCGAACCCATACCGCGTCACAAACTGCGCTGTGAGCTTAATAACACCAAGCTCCTTGAGTGTGATCTTTGCAGGAAATGTAAATGAAAGGCTTCTTCGATAAAGCCTAAAAAAATCAGCTACAAACTGATGAGGAGCTAGAGGATAATCTTTGATGTCATGAGTCTTCATATGGTATTCAGAAAGCAGAGGTCCCAGCGTATGCTGCAGAAGCATATCGGGCTGTGTTAGCCACTTCATCATCGTTGAAACGGGTTCAGGTGGCGGCAAGATAGCAGAAAATTGGCAATTCGCCCTGTGAGCAAAACAGTCAAGACCACCCACAAAAGCATGCAACTCAATCATAGCCGTCTGCACCCCATCCTTCACTCCATCCTTGAGCTTCTCCAATTGAAGACGGTGGAAGAAAACCTCGAGAACAGTGGCCGTGCACGCATCACTCACCTTCAGTTTTTTGACAAGCATATTGAATAAGAAGTTCCTGCTACGATTCTTCTCCATAAACTCAAACTGAGGGATCGTAACCACTTTCACCATCAGAGCCCGACGAAAATAGATCCCATATCGAGCCACAAACTGCGCTGTGAGCTTAATAACACCAAGTTCTTTGAGTGTGATCCTTGCAGGAAATGTCAATGCAGGATCCTCAAGAACAGTTTGTGCATCAGTTTGGATATCCAGAGGTCCAACCTGCATTTGTGTGAATCGGTTCATCATCATTGAAAGGCGTTGAGGTGGTTGCATGACAAGAGAATGGTGAGCGAACTCCATGTAAGTAAAACAGTCAACACCACCAACAAAAGCATGCAAATCAATCATAGCCGAGACCACTCCCTTGTCCAGCTTCTCCAATTGAAAAAGTGGTCAACAACGGTACGCATACAAGCATAAGTAGAAGTCCTTAATACTCTAGAATACGCAACAACAAGGTCGGTATAAAAACCAAACCTGGTATGAACTGGCTTCATAAACTCGAAGTTAGGATTCCTGTACACTGTCATCATCAATTCATGCCAAAAACTGAGCAGTGAGCTTAATAATACCAAGCTCCTTGAGTGTGATCCCTGGAGGAAATGTAAATGCAGAATCGCATGTAAATTCCCCTAAAGGAGGAAGTGACTCACTTAAAGGAGGAGGCTCAATACGACAGGATTGTAAAAAATTCCCTACATAGTCATTGGCATCATCGGGATGGATATCATCATCCTGAAGAGTTCCATTTTGATACTGATAATGGTATTCTTTAAGCTTTAGCTGGTAAAAGCTGAATTTTGCAGAATTCATATTCCAATCCACATTAAAAAACCTGATCTTGTTCTCAAGCTCCACACCGTCTAGGGCAACTCAACGTGCCGTTTGCTCGATCCGTTTCTGGAGGTGGCTCGACGATTCTAGACCACCTCGACTCTCTTTTTCTACAACTACAAAACAAAAAAAGGAAAGATTAAAATCAGACTGTGAGAGAAAGAGAAGAGGACTAATGATTCCGGTAGAGATAAGAAACACCGTACCTCATCCCGTAAAGTAACAGCCCCGCCGCCAGAACCTCCGTGAGACGTCGAGAAGCCTACAATACAATCAAACGAAAAGATGCTCTGAGTCTGAATTAAATCCCTTAAATCGAAACTCGCCGTCTTCACGCTTTATAATGGGCCATTACTAATTGGGCTTTTAATTTTGATCTATAATTATTTTTCAGACCGACTTAATGCAATGCATACAAGTTAATTCAATG